AAGACCAGCCCTCGACTGCTAGACGCCAGCTGTCACCCATCCGCCGGGACTCGTCAGTCACCATGAACCACGAACCCCCGACTCCCTCGGTCGGCCACTCGAACCAGCCTTTTTCAATCTCTCAAATCGTGTCCCCTGAGGACTCTACCCAGATGGAAGACTCGCCGGCCCCGTTTGGCTGCGGGTCATGCGGCCCTGATGGAAACTGCCAATGTGCCAATGACGTTCTCGCGGCCCCCCTCGCCGACTGCGGAGGCTGCACCCTTGGCGGTCGTTGCCAGTGTCTCGAGGACACCATCAAGAATGCCATCATGTCAGATCTCAAGCGGGCCCCCTCTCCCTCGGCCGTGACCTCTTCCGAGAAGCGTGCACGCATCGAGCCGGCCCATGCTGAGGAGACCGAGATCGACTTTACTGCCATGTTCTCCAAGAAGGCGGCGCCTGCGCCGCCGCAGCAGTCCTTTCAGATCCTCCAGCCCCAACCACTTCCTTCAATGTCCCTCAAGGACTCGTGTGGGTTTTGCAAGGACGGAAGCTACTGCGTCTGCGCCGAAGATGCCATGTCGCTCGGCCCCCCAGCTACCACCCCTTACGGACCTCCTCCCGCCTACTCACAGCAAACCACCCCTCCCCCCTCAGAGAACGACGCAGTCCCTCCACCCATGGAGATCGACTCCGATGGAGCCGTCAAGCTCCGTCCTCGTCCGCAGACCACTCAACCCACCGCCCCCATCTCGCGCGGCTGCGGTCCCAAGGGCCCCGGAACCTGCGCCCAGTGCCTTGCTGACCCCAAGTCCGGCCTCTTCTGCCGCGCCCTCTCGGCAAATTTTGAGCGCAAGGGCGGCGGCTCCGGAGGCTGCTGCGGCGGTGCCGGACCGGGAGGCGGATGCTGCAAGTCCGAGTCAGCGCCTCCTCGTCTTCCCTCCAAGGAAAAGCTCGGCCTGAGTCTGAGCTGCGCCGAGGCCTACCAGACCTTGTCCAGCCACAAGAACTTCGAGAAGGCCGCGGACGATATCGGCTCGTGGCTGCCTAAGTTGCGTGCCGCGCCCAAGCCCGACCAGACTCTGCCCTCCCCGTCGCGGCTGCCCATCGAAGTCGAGGCTGCGAGTATCATGAGCGTGCTCAAGGACTTTGACATTCGCTTCGGAAGAGGACAGTAGGCTCGTTGTTCTTTTCCGGTTTTCGCGTGGGCGGTCATCAAAAGCTTGATTTTTATTAATACCATGGTAATGGTAAGAGGAGGAACTGAATTACGTGAATGGCTCTGACGTGGGATGAAAAAGAAATTGGCGTTCCGGTCTAGGAGATAGTTATATCTACCTGTGTAAGCGGCGCTGATTGCGTCTGGGGAAGCTTACGAAACTTATGGAGAGGTGTTGCATGGCTTTTCGGTCAAAGCCGTAGGTGGCTTTCGTGAGCTTTTTGAGTCAGTATCGGATATCTCGGGTTAGAAAGTACCTTGAGACGAATAAATACAGATGATCTTGATCGCAAGAATGACTTATTCTGCCTCTCGTTTTTGACAGTTTGTAGTGTTAGGGAACCGCATAAAAGCGTGCATTTTCCCCGTCACTCAGTCCGTGCCTTTCTTTATGAGCAGCGGACGATGCTAGTCTGAGGGATACATATAAACGACGTTTCGGCAACGTATCATTTCTGGTAAGCCATGCAATCTTTCGAAATTAAGCTCCTTGTCAGAATATGGATCAGGGCAAACCAGAAGAATCAATCTCGCGCCCTCAGCCCTTTTTCTTTAGCATAGGTAGGCTCCCGAGGGTGCTTTGAGCGTATTCAGCTGTGTATGTCTTCCGAACGCCGGCAGGGGTTACGGGCGGAGGTGGGAATGCTGAAGGGTTGCTTTGCGGAGTAGGGAGGCCGGTTCGGATGCTGAGGTCCTGTTGTGGATGTGCAGCTGAGTTACGGGATTGTTGACAAACGACAAACAAGTTCCAACATCGAAGTCCATTGCTTTGGTTTTCTCAAATCTAATGTCAGAAAAGGATTTTATATCTGGCTTGTGACTTGTCTAATCTGTTCAAGATGGTGGATGTGGAATTAGGGGCGGTCTGTTATTTACTGGACTTCATGCCCTCAGCCACCAGGGGTGCGGAGGGAGGTCTCGAGACTAATGCGAATACGTATTTAAATTCATCAGACAGACGTTTGTTGGGGCAGACACAAGCAATCAACTGCGGTCTTGCGATTGGATTCTCCTGCTCGGGCAACGTCGCTACCCCTGATAGGGACGTGGTTGGCTTGCGGATGAATCTGCGCTCGGTTATCCGCAAGGTGATAGTCATCCTGCTATTGTCCTCCTCTTATTCCGCTGCACATGATATGCTAAGAGAGACGGACAGAAAGAGACGCGCTGCATGGCGTGCAACTTGGTGATCCTGTTTCTGCAAGCGTGTAATGACTGGAGGTCTTCAGGAGGCAATTCACGTTACTTACCAGTCTGTTTGAAGCCGTCAACAGCTGAAGGGAGCATTCGTTGTCCTGGTCATCTGTAGGTTGCTTTATGTAGTCTCTTAAGTACTGGGGGAACGTCGTGGTGTCGTGAGGTAACTGGCTCTCGTGCAACTATTACACGTTTCTTTGGGTATTTAAGATCAACCTGCCTTTCCATTCCTGTTGATTGCAAGAAGCTGCAATGTAACGGAATCCAGTAGGTCTTTGAGATGACACGCTACGAACACTGTGGCTGTTTGTTGAGGGAAATGGAGCTGACCATGCACTGAGGAGCGTAACGATATCATATATTTACTGATTTGCCTGTGCTTTATCCGGTGACCATTGCGTCTGAATCTACAGCCGATGATGAAGATGGCAGGGAAGACCGACTCGACTATGGGTTGGTTGAATTGGACGCCTCTGTGTGGCTCTCTTGGAAGCGGAGGGAAGCTTCGACAAGACTGGTCACCTGCTAAGTTGAATGAATCCCATGGTAAGCTATTACATCCTCGGTATGTGTCATTCAATGCTGTATGAGAAAGTGCGTCTTTTAAATAAGTCTAATAAGTCCAATAAAGAGGGAGCATCTCCGCCCTACAGCTGAGATATGGTAATTAGGTACTAACCGGAGACTCGCTGCGTCTGTATGACATCAGCGTTTGTCCTGGACGTCTCTGGTTTGAATACGTTACAAAGAAACATCTTTTCTTCATAGGCAATGAGTTTGGTAGTCAGGGAGATCCCGTTCGATACATTTAACGATGATTGTTGAGCCGAGAAAATTCGAAGTCGGGTTTGCAAAAGCCACACTTCGTCCGTGTTCATTATGCAATAAACAACTCCCAGTGATAGACCATAGAGAGTCCAAACGAGCTGCCCAAAATGTTCTAGCCCCTTGTCTTCTATAACCCCTCTGGTAGCCGTGACTTCTTTGCTCGCTTTGTGAAAAGCCTAAAAGTCAAAGACCCAAATGACCCAAACATTCTTGCTGCGAGAATATTAGCCACATGTTAGTAGACCTTTTATAATATATTTCTCTGAGACGTAGGGACTCCGCTACGTCGGTATAAATCATACCGGAAGGCCGCAAACTCTGAGAGACTGCAATCGAAATGCAGCCAGTCTGATAGGTGCTGTAGGTTTCGGGCCGGTTCAAACGGAAGCGCTCTATTGTGTCAAACGGCGGCTTGAAGTCGTCTTCGCAATTCCGGGAGATGGGTTATGTCTTATGAATCAGGATTTTCCATTGTCTTCGTTATATACGTCGTTGAATAAAGCGGGAATGGTTTGGAGACTGGAGGCGACAAAAGGCTATGAACAAATGAATCATTAACCTAGAAGGTATCAAGACTGAGCTTCAGAAAGAGAAACATTCTTTTCCATCACATGTAGAAACTAGACATATTTCTTCGCTGTGAAATCCACGACAGTGACGCTAACAGCTCGACCAATTATAAGGCTTCTTTGAACGCCCGCCTCCCGGCCGGCTTGTCCGCCCTTTTGTTGTACCGGCTGCCTTGAGCTCGAGTTCAAGGATTGCCGAGACCGCATTAGAGGAACGGATTGACGTGATTTGTGTATAAAGATAGTTGTAGTCAGATCCCCGTCAGAAATTAACACGGCCAATGTACCCTTTGCCTCTGAGCTTTCTATGATTGCGACTGCCCATGGGGTTTCCGCTGCACGGAGGCATAAGTATTGGTCGATACCTCCATGTGCAAGCTGAGATTCTTCCAGTGATGTTGGAGAAATCCAAGAACATCTGGTCTTCTTGGAACTATTTGTGATGGATACTCGCATGATGATGCGGCACGGCAGCAGCTTGGTTGTATTACCGAAGAGATGCAACAGGTTCAGTCCCTCATTCCTGCCTAGGTATGGAATTAAGTTTGAAGCTACCCGACAAAACCCCAGCTAATTGTTCTGAACAGACGACACAAGCTACAGGTTTGGCTTTTGTATTGAAAGCTTGATCATTGCAGGCCGAAAGTCTGTTTGGTTCGGTCACGTCGGGTGCTGAGAGACAGTGTCAAAACTCCATTGCCGTATTGAGCTAAGAAATGGGGAAGTACACGCGTTCTCGATTGAGCAGGCGCGAAAAGCTTAGATCTTGGAGTCACTGAACATGTATTCGAACCCGATCAACAACAGGAAAGACCACAAGCTGAACTGTCATATCTCGCCGAACTTCGAAGGCTGACAGGATGCTATTCGCGAGACTCCTCGCGTTTTCGGGACGAAGTGAATTTCAATCAGTCGCGCAACCTAGTTTCCTGAAGCATGCTCTGCAGGCAGCCAATGTCTTGCAAACGAGGAACTACAACGCCAGTCTCGGCCTTTGGCCGGATGAGAATCGTTGGTGACAGTCTGCTCGATGTCTAACGGCTCTCATCGATCTCGCGACGATCGAAACGAGTTTCAAGTCGAATGTCACGGCAATTGTCGCGCATACGTACGAAACGAACAGGAGTAAGGGCGGTGGAAACTTCACCAATGACTACTACGACGGCGGCGGCTGGTGGGCTCTCGCGTTCATCAAGGCCTCAGATATGACCAAGGATAGTGAAAAGGTTATACCAGAGTACCTTGAGACAGCCAGATTTATATTTGATAACATGACGGATGCCTGGGGAACGAAGTGTGGCGGCGGCCTTCCATGGAGGAGAAGCGATCCTCAACCGTATCTTGGGGCTATCCAAAACGAGCTCTATCTCAGCGTCGCAGCCCACCTCGCGAACCGCGCATTCACGGCCATGGGAAAGAGCAAGTATCTGAATGGGGCACACAAGGAGTGGTCATGGTTCAAGAACAGCGGTATGATCAATTCGGAAGGAATCATCAACAATGGGTTAAATGATCGTTGCCAAAACGACATGGGAACAGCATGGACGTACAACCAAGGGGTTGTTCTCGAGGCACTTGTTGAACTTGACAAAGCGACGCCTGGTGGGTGCTGTTTGGATGATGCAAACAGACTTGCGCAGGCTGTGCTAGAGAACAGAAATTTGGTCAACGAGCGGGGCATTCTCCGTGAGCCATGCGAGACGACTGGCAAACCATGCGATGGGGATCAGAGGTTGTTCAAAGGGATATTTACTGATGGGCTGGCAACGCTTCAAAAGAGAAGCCCCCATCCTATCTATCGACAGTTCTTGGAACGAAACGCTGAGGCCTTGTGGAAGAATGGTTCAAGAAACGGACAGATATCTTTGCGCTGGACCGACCCCTTCAATGAAAGTGAACTGGATGTCGGAACTCAGTATTCAGGCCTGGCTGCTCTGGTCGCGGCTGCGTCGGTTCAGCAACACCTCAATTTTGGTGTTGAGCTTGAGGGAGTTGCTGAAGACCCGGAATCAAAAGGCTGAAAAAAGTTTGTATTGCTGCGCGGTTAAGATTCTGAAGATATAGAAAGCTTATTGCGCTTTCAAGTTACAAGTTACTGTCAAATCACCGATGCATTTGGAACCAATATTTTAAAGAAAGCGCACAGCAGCTTCGATTTTCAATTCAAAACGGCACTTATGCTCTTGACCCGATGTTCTATAGGAGATTCAGAGAAAAAAAGGAAAAAGAGAGACGTTGCCCGTGACCATAGGAAAGACAAAGAGGACAGAGAGAGAGAAAGAGAAAAGAAATGGTTTTTGTGGTGTACATCATCCGTCATCCCCCATAACACCCAAGCTGGTTTGATGTCATGTCATGGTTGGCGAAGTCGCTGCCAGGCCCGATCGGCTTCATCGTCGCGAACTCAGAGGTCGTTGAGCTGGCTGGCTAGGCTTCGAGGTTGTGGCGAATGCATTTAGCAAGCGGTGTCGAAGGCGACGAAGGTCTGGCCGTCGGTGGGGGCAGGGAGCTGGGAGGCGGGGACGTTGAAGAGGCGGCACTCAACGGGCTCGTTGGTGGAGGGCTTGCCGAACTCGACACTGAGAAGGTTGTTAGTCTGATGTCTGTGAGAGAGGAGTGAGGGGAGTCTGAGACTTACGCCTGGCAGCCAGAGGTCTGCTTGCAGAGAGCAAGGCAGGCGTCCTGGGTGGTGATGTCCTCACGGGTCAGGAGAGGAGTGGGAGCGCTGGTGGCAGGGCCGGTAGGGGCGGCGCCGCAGACGTTGCGCTTCTTAGGCTGGTCCTGGTTCTGGCCGTTGATGGCGTTGGCATCACCGTTGTTAGTGGCGGCGCCGTTGTTGGAGCCGTTGTCGGCCTGGGTAGGGGCGGTGGTGGGAACACCAGTGCAGGCCTTGTCGAAGACCTTCAGGTTGGCGTTGGACTGGGTGGGGATCTGGGCGGCGGGAACGTTGTAGAGCCAGCAGAGAGGAGTGTTGCCGGACTCAGGGAGGCCGAAGACGAAGGCCTGGCAAGAGGCATCAGCCTCGCAGAGCTTCTGGCAGGCGTCGGCGGTGGCAGCGGTAGGCTGGGAGAAGGGAGCGACGTCGGCGTTGGCAGCCGCGGAGGGAGCGGTGTTGCACTGGTCGCGGCGAGCGAGGGGGCCGGCCTGGGCGGCGGCGGCGAAGGCAATGATGGTGGCGATGGTGAACTGCATCTTGAAGGTTGGTGGGTTCGAAGAATGAACTTGAAAAAGTTGTTGAATGAGTGAGTGAAGTGTGAGAGAGTGGTTGGTGCTGAAGAGCGGAAAGTGTTTGGTTGTTGACTTGAGTGATTGATGCTTGAGTGTGCTGTGTGATGAGGAGAAAAGAAAACCGAACCTGGAGTTGGAAACGGTTGTCTTTTATGTTGGAGATGAACTTCTCCTGAACACAGCAAACATTAAGATGATGTCTTGGTGATCCACGTTGTTGGACCACGTTCAACTCTGCAAGTCCACCATGTGGTGAAGCTTACGACGACGTCGAAGCGGCTCGACACTCAGCCTCTCTGCGGATAACCTTGCTGGTAACTGGGGCACGGTCCCGAATGTCACCCTGTAGACGTGAGGTCTTCGTCACAATCCGCCAAGGGTAATCGATAAGATGCGTTCTATTATCTGATAATGTGGCGGTTCGGGATCATGCTGAGAGTCCACATTGCCGGGGAATTCACGGAACAAGCCCATGGATGTGGGCGTGTTTCCTTAGTTCATTTGAATGGCCTAGCTAGAGGCGTGAAACATCCCTTCCTGGCTTGTACAACTCAGTGTAAAGAGACACTCAATAGTCGAATTGCTAGAAACCCGTTCCTGAATCAGTATTACTGGGGCGAGAGCGATTTTTCCTGCCGGGATATCCATCTGGGCAGTCAATTGACAGATGTCATCGGGACGGAATGAGCGATGGGTATCCCGTGTGGCGGACAACCGACCAACATCCGATTCCCACGACAAAAGAGACGGAAAACGCATGAACCACGATCTCGGTACTGCAGCCGTTGGCTTGACAGCCCTGTGGCGCAGGAGGAAGACGGTCCGTGGTGGACTTCCCGTAGAGGGAGACCCCTGCTTAGCACCCTCCCAAGCTTTGCGGCTCCCAACGCCTCACTCATTTGCGTTTGCCTTACCTGAAACCCCTATCAGTGCGCGATTTATTGCCCCTCTACGCCACTTTTTACTATTAATAATAATAATACTAACGTTAATTAATATACTTTTTAATATAATTTAAGCTTTTTAATACTATTTAGAGCGTGATCTAAGTATAATTTTATAACATTAAAATAAGATAATAATAATTTAAGCTCTATATAACTAATATAGTTATTAAAGAGAGTAGTAATATATAAATATAAGAGTATCTTCCTAAAACTAGAATTTCTACTAATAAAGCTAGTAATAAGAAAATTCTTCCTATTTATATTAGTTCTCTAAGAAAAAGATTATAAGAGAAAGCTTATATTCTATTAATTCTAATTTAATTTAAAATATATCATTCTTAATAAAATAGCTATAGTAAAAAGCTTTTAGCTAATTATAAGAAACTTAGCTAAATCTTTTATTAGTTTTAAGAGAAATAAAGCTAACTTAATTAGAAAAAGTAATAATAGCTTTAATTTTTAAAATAAAATAAATATAAACAAAAGAGTTTTATATTAATAATAATTTATATAAACTTATAATCAAATTTATTATTTAATAATTTTAGTTATAAATAAACTTTCTAAATAAATAATTTAATTTATTAATATTCGAAATAATAGATAATAACACTAGTAAAGTTAAAAAAATATAATAGCTAGAAGTTAATAATGTTAAAGCTAGTATTAAAACTACTATAAAGCTATTAATTAATCTTATTACTAAAATAAATAACATATTTAATAAATATTTATTGTTATCTCTATTATAACTATTATTATTATTACTACTTCTTATAGAACTTTAAATTTATATAGAGATTAAGATTTCTAGAAATAATGTTAAAATATAGCTAAATATTAAAATTGAACATATTAAATAAAAGAATATAGATAACTAAGCTAAATATATTTTTATAATATAATTAAAAACTTTTATTATAAATATATTTTATAATATTATAATTACTTTTTTATATTTAACTTTATTTAAATTATTTTTCTCTCTAATTTTTATTATTAAGCTATATTCTCTAAAAAGATATTTTATATGAACTACTAAAAGCTTAATAACTAGGATTTATAGCTATTTAGATTAATAATACTATTAAGAGTAATAAAAAGAAAAGCAAATTATTACAAATTAAAATTATTATTTTTATTATATTAAAACTATTTAATTAGTATATTTTAATCTTTATAAACTATTATTATAAATCTTAATAGTTATCTCTAATGCTATTGAATATAAATTTTATTTAAATAACTTTTTTAATTAAAATAATATTATTTTAAAACTTTATTAAAATATCTTTATAACTTAATATAACTTTATAAACTTTATATTAAAGTAATAATTTTATTAAATTTATTCTTATTAAGCTTAATAATATTAATAACTTATTACATTAATAGAAATAATAAAATAATTTATTATTAACTAATAAGTTAAAATAAAAAAAGACTTAGGATATATGTTAAGTGATTTAAACCCTCTATAAATATAAATTAAAAGTTAAATATTTTAATAATTATAATAATATTACTAATAACTACTATATTAATTACTTTTTTATTCTATTAAATCGATTTATTTATTTTTAGATTTATAAATAATATATTATAGCTTAAATAAAAGCTATAGTTAATAGACAAATAACTATTAATAAGCCTCTAACAACTATTATTATTAATATAACTTAACATTATAATAACTATTTCTATAAAAATAAATCTAAATTATAAAATAAAGTTATACTAAAAGTAAATAGTAATAGAAAAATTAGAAATAATGTTAATGAACTTAATTTACTTTTTTTAACCTCTATATTATAAACTAAATTAATATATTATTATTATTATTATTTTATAATTTTATATTACTAACTTATTTTTATTATAACTATTATACTTCTATTTAGTTATTATTATTAATACTACTATTAATAAAACTATTATTAATACTATTATATATTAAAAAATAGAATTTATTAACTCTATCTTTCTTTCTATTTATTCCTTAAATTAAGCTTATATTATAACTTCTCTATAAATATCTAGAATATTTATAAAGAATAGAAGAGACTAAAGATACTAAGTAGAATATTAATCTCTCTATTATATTTAATACTATTTTATAAACTTATTTTTAACTTAAATCCCTTTAGAAAGTATTAATTAATTAGTTTAATAAAAATAATATTTTTATAAATATTATAGAGATAATTAGAAATAAAATTAAATAATTTCTAATTAAGCAAAATATTATAGATTTAATAACTAACTATAGTTTGTATTTACTCTTTCCTAATATTGAAACCTAATAGATTTTTAAATAAATAATAAAGTATCTCTAAATAATACAATATTTCTAACTAATATTATTAAATAAAACCTTCTAATTAAAATTATTAATAATATTTACTTTTTCATTATTTCTTTTATTTAATTACTTAATAATAATAAGAATAATAAGTTTTAATAAATAGAGAGAGGTTTTATTCTATTTCTTTATATAAATATAAAGATCTTAATTTTAATAACTAATAGTAATTTATTTAATAAATAGAATACACCTCTAATATTATAGCTAAAGAGAAATATATTATCATTAAAACGTTATAAAACTAATTAATTATTAAAATTAAATTATTTTATTTTATATTAATATTATATTTCTTTAAATAAAAATACTTTTAATGATATTAGAGTTAAATATAATTATAGCTATAAATTTAATTTTATGATAAGCTTTCCTCTTTATTAATATCTCTATCTGGTTTAATATACATACTATAATAATAAAAATAATATAAGATAATATTAATATTTTCAACTATTTAAAAATATAATTGTAAAACAAGTTT